CATTTTCGCAAACTTGATGATTGGGACCAGATGACTTCTGAGGCATGTCGCAACTCTGATGCAGCTGAGATTTATCTTAGATCTCATTTACCTCTTTAGATCTCCTTTATCCTCTACTAATAACCCAGTTATCCTATCTGTTGGGGTAACTTACTAGAAGACCTAAAAACGAGAAGCTCTTTAGAATATTGATACCCAACCAACAAGAACTTGAGGATAAAAGCGAGGTGTCAGAATATCTCTGAGGTGTGTTTAGCATCCCCTATCCCCGTCTCTATCTCTGCCTAAGATCTCATGTGCTGTCACTTGAGTTGAGTATCACTGTAGTTAATGTAAAGTAAATGCAGACCGAAAAAGATGTAAGAAATCCCCAGTCTGGCTTGAGGGGGATATGTGGTAGAATTTCCAACACTGATGAGTGAGATTCTTTCAAAAAAGAAATCTCATCCTTGATCACTCAAATTATATCACACAACTCTTTGTTCAGCATATTTGTAATTTTGCTCTATTCCTAGGGTGAAAAGTAAAAATCAAAGTTCCTTCAGCTAACAACATTTTTTCTCTTTCTGGACATACCTGTATCAAAAGTTTGTCACTGAAAAGGGGCAAAATGCATTATTGGGAAAAAGCTCAGCTGAACTCTGGCACATTCAATCTATGCAGTTATATAGAGCAAAACTGTAAATATGCCTTAATGGTATTTTAGATATTTCATATGTCCCAATATCTATCCATCTTAGTAGGCTATAGTAAACTCTCAGCCATGCCTATATTTTATCAATGATGGCAAATTTGGGTGGAGAACACAGAAAATTTAAGTATTTATGATGCTGTAACTTTTCAGAGCATTGTGACATTCTGGATTCATTGATTCTCTTTGCAATCCTGTGAAGCAGGATTCTCACACTTGCTAGTGAGAAAACTGAAGTGCAAAGCCAGGCATGAGGAGGTTCATTTAATTTTCCACGGTTAATGAGAACCTGACTTAAAGCTGGACAGGAAGCCTTTTCATCTGTTGCCTTTGTGATATCTTAACTAGTTCACTTACATTGAATCTATAAGGGTAACATCTGGACTAGTAATTGTGGCACAGGCAGAACTACTAACTGGCATAAATATTATAAAGAGAAAAAAATTTTAGATTTGAATATGCCATTTCTTTGCCGTGGGCAGACATTCTATGTACTTGAACTATACAAACATACATTATGTACTCCAGAGAGCCCCAGGACTCTGCCTGATAAAAAAAGACCCAACAATTCAGGGAAAAAAAATTTTACTTGCTATTTTTATTCACTTAACAGAAACAGTCACTTATCAGATATCACTGAAGTGCAATTTACAGAACTTAGAGGCAAATTAACATGTGTAAATTATTTTAAGGTTTCGGAATTTTTTTTTTTTTTTTACAAATATTACAAATGTACATCCATTGGTACAATATATTGCCATTCACTCATGCTTTTTATGTACATTCCTTCAGTTAAGAATTACTATTTATTAAGTTCATTTGCTTAAAAAATGCTGAAAATTAACTGGGCACTGAGGGAAAGATTTTTTTTTTTAAATTGATGCATATACGGCAGAGTGATAGAAATGCAGTGCCTGTGTGAAAAGAGGCACCAGAATCCAATAACTCTATTTTTAGAGGATTATTTCATCCCTCCAACTTTGATTTTAAAATAATGGGTTGGGGAATAGGGTATTTCTTTCACCAGGGTTTGTTATGGTCTAGATTTCCCTGCAGGGGTGCTATTGTTTGGTTTAAATTTCTAGAGGTGTGGCCATCAGGGTTCCTTTAGGCGGGAGGTAAGACTTGAATGGACATGTTCCAGGAGCATGAAAGAGACTCTGGTGAATTCTTGTGGACAAGTGTCACAAGAATATCGGGAGCTCCTCCTAACCCTGAGCATCAGCTTACTTCATAGAGCAGCTCAGGGTAGATCCATGCCTGAGGCTTCATTCCCCTCAGTAATACCACAAAATCAGAACAAAGGAATCTGAAGTTTAGGGATAGGGAAGAGCAGACAATAAGACAGGGAAGAGGCAGGGGAGAGATAGGGAGAGGTGAGAAAGGAAACCACAGTGGTGCAACTGGTGAGAGAATGAGCAGGGAGGGGTGATAGGCCACCTCTTTCTCTCTGGTTTCCCAGCATTCAGGGAAAAAGCAGTGTGGGAACAAATTTCTGTTGCGATGCCTCTGATAGCTTGCGTAAGATCGCTGTCTCTTCTCATTCCACCCCAGGATCCTTTATTTTGTCTGATTCAGAATTTGTGGAAGAAATTGGACAAGAACTATCAACATCCCAGTGTTTGCAGAGACAGTTGCCCTCCAGAGCCGGTGATGAGTCAGGACCACGGTCAGAGGTAAGAACCTCCGCCTCCCATCCACCCTGCACCACTCACAGCATCTTGCCCCACCCACTCTCACCCACGACACCCCTCACATGTATCAACTCTGCCTGTGGGGTGTATAAATACCAGCAAGACCAGAGACGGCAGGTTGTTCTAGCCCCGTGGTGTCTATTGGTGCTACAGCCTTTCTCAGACAGAGAACTCTTAATTTTCCACTCCAATCAGGAATTCTGCAAAAACTCAGAGATGGGGCAGCCTTTGGGATTTTTGAGGACAGTGGATTTCCTGGTTCTGGGCTGAACTGCAGACTCTGCAGACTTTCTTAGGGAAGGGCTGTGAGGGCCAGAAAAGGTACACCGGGTTGTGCTGAGTATTAAGTGAGTCCTGCCAAAAGAGGTGGTCACAGCAGCAGTCAAATGCAGCACGTAAAAAGAAAGACTTTTTGTTTAAACTCCCCTTTGGTCTCTATTAGAAAGTGATATTTACTGCATTTTGGGCCAATGAGGCAGATCATTTCATTAGAATGACTTCCTTCAAAAAATGGGTATATAAGTTTCCCAAAGTGAAAATGCTTATGTAAGTTTCATTTTTTTTTTAATTTTTAAAAACAAGATATTTTAGATACATCTTGAAATTTATAATCTAAAAATAGGATTTCAGCAAAATACTCTAACTATTCTATTCTGGGCATGAATATACTATGTAGTTACTGTTCATGGCTCTCCAGACATGGTAAACACTATACCAAAAAACAAAAAAGCACTTAATTTTATTGATAAGAACAGCTTCCCATGAAAAGGAAATTATGTGGAAAAATGTGAACTACACATTTGTTTGAAAAGTAACTCATTTTGACATTTCTGGGGAACTACAAGACTCATCACAAAATCAGTAGTGGCATGATAGATATATATATAGATTTAAAGAGAACCACAGGAATAAAAAGGAAACAATAGTTATAGACCCGCAAATCCTTTCCTTGGTACAAACAAAAACCAAAGAAATCCTAAATTCAGTTACTTGATATTCTACACTGTTGTGAATTCTTATGCTGGAAGCAGACAAGCAGAGAGTGAATGGTTTTGTTACTTTTCCCTCGGGTTCAATCCTGTGAAGAGACTCACTCACTGACTTTTGACTCCAAACCATACCAGAAACCTTAAGTTGCTTATTTCTCTGACAAGAAAGCAATGTATGTTTTGGAGGCAGATAAAGATGATGTTGATTTTATTTGGACTTTTGCAGGGGGCTAAATAGGTATGAACACAGAATACAGAACATTTGAAAACAAAGGTCTTGGAGCTGTTATGCAGTATGAAGCACAAAGAATGCAGGGATGATCATTTTGAAGCATGTTCAGATGGACAGAGGGGCAGTCAGGGTGACTTAGATGCCTGGATAGTCTCTGATTTTAATATTGTGACTCGCTTTCGCTTTGCTCAGTCAAATGTTTTCCAGGGTGACTACAAGTTACGCATGACCTATTCATGTTTTCTTCTTCTCACTGAAACCTCAGGTAGAGATGTATAGATGGGCTATTCTCAAGACTTTAATTCAGCTGTCAAAAACGCGGGGTAGATCTAGCCTAGCGCAGTGTTGGGATGCTCTTTTGAATGTTGAAGCAACAGTGTGATCTGTAGGCTTCCTCACTTGTGACTGACGTGCCCTGTCTCTTCCAGGAACACCAGAGGCTGCCTCATTAGAGCCTTGTAGATTGGCCTCTTCTAGATGGGGTCGTGTTCTGCACCTTCTGGCCATGGCGTGCAGTACTGATTGGCTATCGGTTTGCTTCTGAGAATGTGCATATCATGCACATATTCTGTCCCCCAAATCCCCTCTTTCTCATTCATGCCTTGAAGGCTGTCTTTTCAAACCTCTGGCCTACCAGCATGTTGTTCAGCTCCTCCCACTGTCCACAGCAGGGACCCTATTTCTCCCCCCTTTATCTTCCTCCCCACTTCACACTCACTCTGACAGATGGCAGAATACCAGTTTCTCAAACTTTCTTCTCTCTGCATTAAAAACTCTTCTCTTGATACAAACCTTTTCTATCGAGTCCTGATATCTCCTCCCAAGAAGTCTTCTGCTTACTGAATAAGTTATTCATGTATGAGTGCTAGTGTTGATGGTTAGAGTGGAGTGGATGTGTGGTTTTCCATAGAAGGAGATATTTATGTGTTAGTAAATTCTGAGTTGTTTCTGGAACACCAGTACTTAACACAACGTGAATCATAGCCACACAGCTGCAATTCAGGCATTGTGGGAGTGGTCATTATGGGCTGGGGGATGCTCTCCAAGACACTTAAATTGGATCATATGGATCATATCCACTGAGTCTGTTTGTGGGATGACCCATCCTATACCTTTTCTGTAATAATTTAGACTGCTGCTAGGAATGCCACCCCCTACATTGTAGCCATAGCTTTATTCAGACCACACTGAAATAAAGCACATATACCCTTATCCAAGCAACATCTCAGAATGTTAGTAATTTGAGGCTCAGTTCATAAACTTCAACAGGGAATCAACTGTGCTTCATACTTTCAGGAAAGGCTCTGTAATTGAGAGAATGTCTATACCACAAATCAACTCTCAAGTTTTTTGGTTCTCTAAGCTTCATACTAATGATATGTAAACTTATCAGAACTCAATATAAACTTACCATTTAATCTTAGCTTTTGACTGAACTAGATTTAATTTTTATTTCCTCAATTTTTGTGAAAATTAATGTCACCTATTTGGAAAAAACACTTTCATATCCCTTGAAACTTTATCTCAAAGCAGTTGTCTACTGTGTGCCCATTTTTTTTTTTTTCTAGCAGAATGTGAGTGAGATACATTTAACCTTATGTTAAATCCCAGGACAAGTGTCTACTTCCATACTAATATCTCTACATCTTAATTACCTTGTAACAAATAGCTAAAGCTCAATAGCTTCTTTTGCCCTACTGTTATGATGTCTGTAACTTATAATTAAATATGTACAAGATGTTATGTTTGTGTTTTTTGAGTGCTGGTCAACCGGAATTCCCATCAGGAAACTTATGCTTTGGAGGTGGCTACTGCTAAGCTTTGCTATTTACCAATAGAGCATTTTAGATATAGATTTTTTTTTTTAGAGACTTGTTTACTAGAATGATGAACATTAGCAATGAAGCCTCAGTGGTAAAATTAAAACAATTCAAGGCATATGGACTGACTACAGATATGTTAGAGAAGTGCTTAGGCCTTGCCCAAACCTCGCATCTCTACTCTCAGGAAGGGTGCCACAAGTCAAATCCCAAATGATCCTATGAATACCTGTGAACCAGAGGATTCTAGCTGCCCAATACTTGCTCCAAAAGTGATAGATTCCTGCCTCTTGCATTTGGCAGCTACTTTCAGTGTTGCTTTTATTTTATTTTATTTTATATTTTAAATTTACTTTCTTTTGTCAAGCAAGGTCATGGCTGGAGAACCTAAAAGAAGTAGAGTTGCCAGTTCTGTAGACCTAAAGTAAAGTTCGACATCTGTAGGCCTAAAGTAGTTCGACATGTGTGTGTGTTTGTGTATGTGTATATGTGTGTGGTTTCTCATGAAAATTTAGTTGAACAGTTCAGAATTAAGTCTAAGACTTATTCTCCTTATTACTTGGTAGGGAGGTTGAAGGGTAATAGCTAACTCCATGCAACTCAAACTTCAATGGGTATCATTATCTGCCAAAAGAAACCAGGAGTTAGGATTGACTGAACAGGCATGGGTCAGCTCGCAACACTCAACTAGTAGGATGTTCAGAGGTGATTTCCTTACAGCAGAGATCTTAAATGATTCCTGCTTTGGCTAACTGTTCTTTTGTTCTATAAGAATTGTTTTTCATTTCTCTGGTCCTGTTTGAGGTGTTCTTTACTATTGTGCATCTCAAATCCTTTTTCAAAGGAAACGGAATAAGAAGCCTAAATTAATAATGGAAAAAAGAGAGCATTCTTACTGGTTTCTTTTGAGGGGGGCAGCCTATGGCTTTTCTCTTCACTAGTGGCTTATCTTGAATTTTCACATAGACTTGTGCTAGAGAAACCCAAGCACATCACTAGAGAGGTGCATGGCAGGGAGGGAAATGCAGGGGCCATTCCTGAGGCTTGTTTTTTACCAGTAGTGGTTCAGTACCACTTTTCAAGGCTGCTGCTGAGCCCCCCTTGCCTGAATGAAAACATTTCCTTTGAGCCCACCATGAAGAGATGGAACAGACGCGATGGCACTTGTACCTCTGGGATGATGGACAGGGGTCTTGGGCCTAGCAACCTGGGAAGCAGCAGCATGTTCCAAATTTGAGTTTAGTTGCTCATTAAAACAATGAACATTTGTGTGTTTCCGGAACATCAAAGGAAAACAAATGCAGAGAACAGGTTGCCACACCACGTCGCTCCACAGACAAAACTTTGCCCTCTCCAGGTATTTCACATGGTCGAACAGTAATGGAGTCTTGTGGCTTAGAGAGTTAGTAGGAACTGGTCCTGTTCTGGGGGTTTCCTCACCCACATGCCCAAACCAGCTTTCTGGAAAGCCTTGAACAGCTGCTGTTTGACAGCCTGGTAGGTCTGGGCCCCCAGCTTGGCCTCACAGTACATGGTCGGTGTGTCTCCATGGTGTGGTATTCGTGTGCTCAGCTGTGGACAGGAAGCAGAAAGAGCAAATCAATCACCAACAGAAACAGGAGCCTCCACCAGAAGAACAAGGTATCAGCCCCTGGTCTCAGCCTTTTGCTTTTCTTTCTCTCTTCCTTTAAAGTAAAAAGGCCACATTATAGAGAGCAGCTATACTGGTCGTTAGTTACAAGGCAATTCTGTGGAAAGCCCAGCTATAGTATTTTTATTGTCTACATTTAAAAAAAGAATTCTTTTTAACTGATGTCTAATAGTTGTACACATTTAGAGGTACGGTGCAGTATTTCAATACGTGAGTACAATGTGTAATGATCCAGAGCAGGGCAATAAACATAGCTACCTTCTCACACATTTGTCATTACTTTGTCTCGGGAACATTTAAACTCTCCTAGCTATTTCGAGGTCTATGTTGTACTATCACAATTACAGTCACTCTACTGCACTCTCGAACTCATTCCCCTCATCTCCTTTCACTCTTAGATCTCTTAACCAAATTCTTCCTATTCCTTTCATCCACTCCCAGTCTCCATTTCTGGTATCCAGTTTTATTCCCTACCTCTGTGGGATCAAGTATGTCAGCTTCCACTAATGACTGAGAACATGTAGTCTCTGTCTTTGAGTGCCTGGTTTATTTCGCTCAACATTATTTCCTCCAAGCTCACCCATGTTACCGCCAATGACAACATTTCATCATTTTTTTATAGCTGAATAATATCCCATTGTGTAGACACATCACATTTTCTTTACCCATTCATAAGTTTGCAGATACTCAGGTTGATGCCATAGCTTAGCCATTTGTGAACAGTACTTTAATAAACATGGGAGTGCAGGTATCTCGTCAATCATAAAGTGGGAATAAAGTAGTCTTTTTTTTTTTTCCCTATACATAGGGTGCCTGTGCTTGTCAGACAGAGCAAGAAAGAGAGAAAGTGAGAAATCACCCACAGGGGGCAATCACCCCCAGGAGCATGGCTACGCTACAATCCCTGCTCCTCTGTTCTTCTTTTGGAATTTTGGGCATGCACACACACAGGCACCTCGCATGTTTTTCAAGTCATGGGTCTGGAACACAAATAGCACAGTTGGCCATGAAAGGTCCAACCACCTTCACCACCACACCATGGGCTGGCCCCTATTATCAGTATTTTCAGGAACTATCATACTGGAAAAAATTCAGTTAAAAGGAAACTTTGCTTCATCAGAAGTGTGAATGATTAATTTTGGACTTAGAAATATAAACACTATGTTTTTTTTTTTTTTTCTGGAGTAGGTTTAGAGGTTCAAAATAAGGGGGTAATGGAGGATGACTGTGGAATCTAAATAGCTTCAGGGGAGGCAGGAAACAGGAAGGGTCAGAGTTATATTATCAGTCAGCCAGGAGGACAGTAAAAGTACGATATTTCCAGGTTATCACAGGCAACGTAAGACAGGATCAAGTATGGCTCCGATTCTCCCACAGTGGAGAGGTAAGGAGAAAGGAGGGCAGGCTGTGGCAGGGAGTTGGGGTGGGCTGATGTCTTTAAATCACACTGCAGGATCTTGCAGGGAGAGCTTAGGAGATCAACATGCCTATCTGATGGCCAATACCACTTCAGCAAGTGCAGAAGAAGCCCCTTCTTTAACAAGACAAACTTGATGCTTTCCTGACCTTCCAAAGTCTTTAGAAGACATGTGACCTGCGGGAGTGCCCTAGAGAAGGTTGGACAGAAGCTGAGATCTCCAGTAAGCTCCGGTTGCTGACCTATGGGCACATGCAAAGACTAGTGGCAGAGGCAGACACCACCTTCAGACTCAGCTAAGAGCTCAGATGTGCAATGATCAGTGTTTTAAGTTGACAAAAAAGATTGATGCTAAGTGTCATATGTCTGTTCTGTTGTACTAAGACAGATCGGCCACAGTACTTGCAGTCCTGTGTGGAGTCATTGCCTTCATAGAATAGTATAGAAAAATTAGCAAAGCATTTTTATTGCCTCTTGGCTTATTTTTCTGTTGTCTATTCTTTTCTGTTACAGTCTGCTATTCTTTGGAAACACGTAAGGCAATGTATTTTGATTTAAAACCCTCATTTATTATCCCCTATTTATGAGGGATAATAACTAAATCATTGATATTCTGGAAATGCATAGGTACAGTTGGTCTAAACTTGACAGTCACTACCTGTGTAATTTGGAGGAAATTATCTAACTTTTCTGAGCAAAAGTTTTTTCAATATCTGAAGTGGGGTGAGTATTGAATTTACAAAGCTTCTATGGGGTTCTCTTAGGACACCCTATGTGAAGCAGTTGGCATGGTGTCTGCCACATGAGGTGTTCACAACTAGCTCCTTTCCACATGACTTCTAGAACATCCCAAACTCTAGCTATTGTTGGTCTGAGGGCCATACTTGAGGCAGTGGAATCTTACGTCTATGGGAAATGCTCTTGACTTGGGAATGTGGAAAAGGGAAATGCCTGGGTACAGATTTTTGTCCTATATCATCCTCATTGCAGACTAGATGATGACCCGTTTCTGTCTCTGCGAACTTGCTCAGGGTTTGAACCTGAGACTGGCTGAGCCAGCCTTTTCCCAAAAGGACAGGTGCGACCTACCCTACCATGCAGCCGTGCCCACCGGGCAGAAAACACGCGCTTGCAAAGCCTGGATGAGCCCCCGCAGATCCTCTTCCCAGTAGTGGCATCAATGATCTCCAGGTCCGCATTGCCCACAGCCCAGTTCACACTGAAGTGTGGGGACTTGCCCGGCTGCCTCATCTCTGCATTACTCACTCCTGTCAAGAGAGAAAAAGAAAGCAGCCAAGCATTATTATTCTTGGTCCCAAATAGGGCTAACTGAGAGCAGCTAATGGGAAATAAAGTGTAAGTGTGAGCTGGTGCAAGATATTCAGATACATATCATCCTGTTGTCATATTTAAAACTTAATCAATTCATACCAAGGTAATTCTATCTGGAGGGATGGAAGTTGAAAGTCAAGTACCACTTTGATGACAGCCTTGGGCTGAAAATCACAGTAGGCACCAGTTTTTAACCACTCTCTCCCCCTCCTTTTTTGGTCTTTGCCATAGAACACGTGTGCTTGACAGAGAGAAACAGAGAGAGGGAAAGTGAGAAATCACCCCTGCTGGTATGGCCATACCTCCATCCCTTCTCCTCCATTTAACTCTTAGGATTTTGGGCATGCATGCAAATGTGCCTTGCGTGATTTTCAAGCCACCATGTCTGGGAATGGAACTGTGGTTGGCCATGTGGGAGTCCAGTACCTTAACCACCAAACCACCTGCTGGTCCACCTGTTTTTAACCTTTTAATGTAAAGGAATTTCTGTGAAGTCTTGTAATAATAAAGTCCTGCCTAGATTTTTTTCTATTTCTATAAATATTTGTAGTGTAAATTGAACCAACAAAGCCATGTAAAATAAGCTAAGGCTATGTGTTGATTAGGCATCCCCTGCATGCCCAGTTCTTCATGAGGCAAAATACCAGCAGTGGTCGACAATAGCAGGCAGACTTTTAGATTTACAGATTGACTAAAGAGAAAAACAACACAAACATGAGTGAAACAGAGATCTGAGTATTGGATAATTGACCGAGTTATATGAGCTAAAAATGGCACTGGCTACAGAATTTGTGAAACGTAGTGTAAAACAAAAACATGGGGCTCCTCGTTCAACAGGTACTAAGAATTTCAAGATGAGGGGGACCAACAGATGGTATAATGGTTACATCATTGGACTTTCATGTAGCTGACTACGGTTCAAGTCCTGGACCCAACAGCTTGAAACTCATGCTCAGCACACATGCATGTGTGCCTAGAATCTCAAGAGGAGAATGGAGAAGGGATTGCGCTGTGGACATCCACCCTGGGGATTGATTTCTGTCTGTCTCTCCCTGTCTCTCTGGAGAGTGCACACGTCTTATAGCAAAAAAATTTCTCTTAAAAGTAAAAAAAAAAGAATTTCAAGATGATAATGGAACATTAATGAAGCATGGTTCCTCTATGCTCAAGTCTCATAAGTCTCATGAAGCTGGCTCTGTCCAGAAAGCATCCAGAATTTTCAGGAAAGCTTTCGTTTCAAAGTGTGTCTTGCCTGGTCAGACTCAGACTGCACCCTTTGACTTTATTATTATTTATAAATTCAATAGCTATACATCATTTAACTTGTAGTGAGAATTTACCCAACAAATACACCTCAGACCAGTCCAGTTGAAAATACTATATACGTTATCATCAACAGGGAATAAACCATTTCTAAGTCTCACAAATGGCTTCCTTCTTTATTTTTCTCCACAATTTCCTTCCTTACACTTGTATCCTCTCCCACCCTCATTGCACAGTTTCCAGGGTCCATACCTATTTTTAATGCTTTTATGCTCTCCAGTCTTTCAGTCTCTATCATAGAGTGTGGACAGTTAGTATATGCTAAGTGGAGACAATGTTTCTCTTTCACAGCTTCACTCACTTCACTCAGCAATAAATCTTTCCTGTTTGTCCACTTTCTATCAAATGCCAGGGTCTTGTGTTTTATGGCTTAATAGTATTCCAAGTAGTATAAATGCCACACTTTTCAATCCATTCATCTGTTCATAGACATTTGGGTTGGTTTTATGTCCTAGCAATTGTGAATATACTGCAATAAATATAGATGCTCAAGAACTTTTCTGACTGAGCATTCTCCTACCCTTTGGGTACATACCCAGGAGTGGAATTGCTGGATCATATTGTAGTTCTATTTGTAGGTCTTTGAGGAAACTTCATATTGTTTTCCACAATGGATGGACCAATTTACATTCCCACCAACAGTGTAGGAGAGCTCCTCTTTTACCACAACCCCACCAACACTTACAATTTTTTTTTTTAATCTTCACCATTCTGACTAGGGTTAGGTAGTATATCAGGGTGGTTTTGATTTTCATCTCCCTTATGATGAAGGATGTAGAACATTTTTTTTTCACATTTTTTTTGGCTGCTTGTATGTCTTCCCTAGAGAGTTTTTTGTTCAGCTCATTTTCCCATCTTTTAACTGGGTTAACCATTTGTTTTGGGAGGGTAAGCTGCTTGAGCTCCTTTTGACTCTTACTTGATACTACACAACCCTTGTGTTCCTAGGTTCATACAGAAGAGCAGAGGGAGAAGCAGCCTGGTTTTGGTGGGAGGTGGCTACATTGCCTAGCTCTTAACCTCGGCCCCAGCTTAAGCTACTGTCCAGCCATCATTTATTTATTTATTTTTAAGGAAGTTTTTTTTTTTTTTTTTTTCCTTCTATAGGCATGTGTGCTCACTGGAGAGGCAGAGAGAGAGAACGTGAGAAATCAGCCCCCAGGGGGGATGGCAGTGCTCCACTCCCTTCTCCTCCATTTTCCTCTTGGAATTTTGGGCATGCACACTGACTATGCTACCTGCTGGCCCTTGCTCAGCCATCTTGAAGCTCCTCATTCTTGTTAGAACTTTTTAGAAGTACTCTGGTGAGATGTTGGTTAGCAGTGGCCAGCACCTGCTGAGATCCCTCCCCATGACACCACCTTCAGGATTCTAACACATGCAGGATTTTGGGAGCTGCACTGTCAATTCACTGTCTGTCTCCTTTTCTGAAGACGACTTTTGTTAATCTGTGGCCTCAGGAGGGTGAGCATTTGAAGAAAAGGCTGTGACAGTTTGAAGGTGCATAATAGATGTGACCCCATACATTCTAGGGGCCAGGTCTTACACTGCATCTCTGCTCAGTCTCATGGTTCAGTCACAAAAGTAAGTAGACAAGGAACTCATTCTCTTGTCTGTTCACTTCGAGGATATTGTGGGATCTTCTTATAACTGAAAAGCTGTTGTCAGATGACCCTGTGGTGCCTGTTGAGCATTTCACCTTCCATCTCCTGCAAGGCTTCCTACTTGATATTTCCCCCAAATCCGGCTCAGCTGGACCTCTCCCCTCTTATCCAGTCCCACTGTGTGAAGGTCAGTTCTACTTCTCCCATGGCCTGCCTTCTCCTCACTGTCTCCCATCCTCCCACCCTCCAGCAGCAGGCATGAGAGGAAGGGACCTGAGAGAATGCTCTCAGGTTGGGTCATGCATCTTGCAAGAGAATAGCAATGTGCAGAGATCTGACATTTTAGCAAGTGCATTGCATTTAGGCCATCACAATGGCTCCTCTGAGGTCATAGTGAAGCATTTCCAACTGTTGGTGGGGAAGGCAGGTGTCAGAAAACAGGTAAAGTACAAAGAACTGGCTGGCTCAGTGGGGCACCCGTAGACGCCTGGTGTTGGTGCTACACCTGATTCTAGGGGAGGCACAGCATGATGCCTTCCTGGAAGTTGTCTTCACTTAGATTCACGGGGAGATGGGACCAGCAGTTAGTGTAATGGCTATGTTGCTTGACTCCCATGTGGTCGACCGGAGTTGGTGTCTCAGACCCGGTGGCTTAAAACTCACGCCAGGCGCATGTGTGTGTGTGCCCAAGATCCCAAGAGGAGAATGGAGGAGAAGATATTGTGGCGTGGCCATCTCCCTTGGGGGCGGGGGGTGATTTCTCGCTTTCTGTCTCTCTGTCTGTCTGGTGAGTGCACGTGCCCTATAGCAAAAATATCTTAAAAAAAAAAAAAAAAACGATTCATGGGGAGACCTACTTAACTCCAAGCTACAAAGTCACAGATCCCACACTGTCCCCAGATCTATCCATGATCCACAAGGTCCTTGGGCAGAACTGACATCCACTCTTAGCTGCCACCTCTTTGCCATCTACACAGCTTGGCTCCCAGGCTGAAAGTCACTGGGTGACCTTGCTCTGGTCACAGATGGGCAATGTTGGATGCCCAGGCTAATTCCATTCTTGTCGGCTCTTTCTTTTTTCTTGAAGTGATTCACTGTGGCAGCTGCCCACCCCTGAGAACTGGCAGGGAAACAATCTGGCCCATTGGCAGCCCTGGGCTCTCCTACTGGGCAGGGACTGCCTGGGCAGGAGGAGGCAGCTGCCGAGGTCAGGGATGACTAGGTCCAAGAAGCAGTCACTGCTCTGGATCTGCGTGGAGCCAGCCTGGGCCAAGGGACAACTTTCCTATCCCTTCTCCCTCTTCCTTTTTCCATCACTCATTTCCTGGTCCCTCTAACCCTACAAAGGTCAGGACTGACCACTGAGACACAGAGCTGGGTTTTTCTTACATAGCCTTAACATAGCCTGAACTCAAGAAAGTCTTGGAGTGTCTGATGTTGACTTGGAACCTCCCTGGTTCTTTGCAGGGTCTCCAGCTCCTGCCTTTGCCCATCTCCCCTTGACCAGGAGCCCTCAGACACCTGCTTTGGAGCAGGCTCAGCTGCAGCCTGGCTTGGCTCTATTTTTTATCACTCTTGGTTGCCCAGCATGCCAGGGCCTGGATGGTGGCCAGAAGGAAGCCACAAGGATGCTAGTGTGAGCTCTGTGAGCTCTCTGCTCCACACAGAATGCAGGGGGAGGAAGAACAGGACTGCACAGAGGGGAGGCGCTGGCCTCAGGCCTGCAGAATTTGACTTGTAGACAGGAAGCTTCTTCCACCAGCACTCAAGAGTTTCTTCCTTAGCTTTGGATCCCAGATTTTTTTTTTTTTTTTTAATTTGGGAGGCGGGGATGTGTGTAGATAAAAAAATTCCTTGTATTATAAAGAATATCACAGGTCACATGTGGTTACACAAATCGCATTGTATAGCTCCTCATTTTCTAATTGTAATAGCTCTGTAAAGTACTATTTAACATATGAAATGGAGCTGTAAGCCCAGCAATAATCTTTCATATTTCTCAGCCAATC